ATAAGGAAGTAATGGAATAGTCGAATAAAGTCATTATTTATGTTTTTTTCGCACAAAAAGTAGTCTCGTCGCTTGATAAACTCATAATTGAGCCGCTGTAGGCACATGGAATATTTAAACCTTTTCTTTAATGACTTTATGGGCCGTCAAGAGCCAGTCCCTTAGGCATTCTATGTAGGACTGATCCAGCTCTCAGATTCAATCAAAAATATCTTTATTTGTGTTCCGAAGATGAACGAAGGTCTTACGGGGTTGGAACAGCATGGGGGTGAGTAATTAATGACTTCATTTTCATTTTTGGGTGAACTAACCCTTTAAAGAGTAAAGACGTGTTTATACTTGACGCATCCGCATGAGCGCAATGGTGCTCACGGCAAAAATGGTTAGCTTCAAGCTTTCTGCTGCTTCTCTTTCAAGGTAGTGTCGGCTACGGTAGAAACATGACGTCAGAATATGTCGACCTTCATAGAAAGGGGTGCCCGTGGATATGTAGATATAAATGGCTCATTCTAAGGTAATAAAACATTACGGTTAGGGGTGTAACGATTCACTCGTTTTCTCGATGCATCGATTATAAATCCTGGCGATGCATATGCATCGATCCTGAAACATGTATTTTGAATCGTGAATCGTTTATTTACGTGAATACTCGATTTAAAAGGCTAATAATCGAATTAATCACGATTTTATAGCGATTCAGTGGTTTAAAATGTATAAACACAACCTTAAAGTGTTCCTGGTACAAGCTGCCTCACGCATTGGCCGTCATACGACATCCGCATTTGATTGGTTTCAGGCTGAAGCCCGGTCGGTCAAATGCCTGAAAAGATGAGTTTATCTTTCTACCTGTTGAGCTACTCATGTCGTGATCAGCTTGTATTACCGCAAATTAGATAAAATCTCCCGGAATCTAGAGCGAGCGTGCATACGAGACAGAGGTTGTGCTCCAAACCGCGTATCGCGCGTTCACACACGGCTGCACGCACTCGGCAGAGAGGGAAAGCGAGCGAGAGACCACCTTGCGTGTACGGAGAGTCCATGTAATAAATGAATAAAAGCGTTTTATTTCATAGTGCCCACGCAATGGCATGGCAGCTTTAACAATGGCTTGAGCGGTTTGCCTCAAAACTATTGCTTTCTCGACAGAGAGCTCAGCTGGAGAGCTCAAACATGGACTGCTCAAAAATCTGTAGTTAACGTTATGAAAGCATGAGAGCTATGGGACCGAGCGCGAGCAAAATCCAGTGAAAAGATGATAACGAGTGCACTGAGAGGACGCAAAATGAAACTAATGAAAACGTCTCCATTAATTTGTGCATGTAGTCATTTAATGAAATACTTTAAAAGCCTTTTTCAAAATATTTGCTACTTGCAAATGCTAATTTGTAGGCCATTGAATTTTTTTTTATAATAATATATTCATTAAAATTAAAAACAAACATGAACTAACATTAACAATGGACAAAATCCCCACTATCTGACCCCCGAAGGCCGCTTGTAGGCTAATTCAAACCCAGACAAAGACCCATTGGGTGAAGCATTAAAATAATACTATAATGCATATAAAAAATTAAGAATCGAATTAATCGAATCGCATCGAATTTGGATGTGAATCGCATCGAATCGAATCGTTCTGAATTTGCACAAATCATTCATGAATCGAATCGAAAACCTATGAATCGTGAATCGAATCGATTCGCTGTCTACCCAAAGATTCACAGCCCTAATTACGGTTCATTAAGTAAGTTCTTTATACACCACTGAAAACATAGTTATGATACTCAAATTTTTTACATATTGCACCTTTAAAGTTACACAGTGTTCATTTGATATTTAAGCCTGTGCAGAGATGTGGCTTTGTGGTTTTTAGGGGTTTTGACAGGGTCAGTTCAGTGCCTGTTCTTGTCTGTGACAGACTGACTAATCAAAATCGTTCTGATGTTTTGTCAGTTATAATGATGGATTCTGGTATAGAGTCATATAGTATGATGTTTCATTACACATCTGTTCCATTGCCTATTTATTAGCCAAAAGCAAAATAATGAGATTATACGTGTGATAGCTAACACATAAATGAGTTTGACAGCAGTATACCTTATTTAAGCACTTCTAGAAGATGATTTCCCGGCTTCTATTTTTGTTTTTCAGATTTTGCTACATCTTTAAGTAAATGCATTTGTTTGCAGGAATGTGAGACATTTTGCAGCTAGGCAAAACATACATGCTTGAGAATATTATTGATACCATTTGAATTGTCTATTTCACATAGAACAGATTTAATGGGTGAACTGTAATCTGTGGGATAGAATATGAAGGTTATTTTACTCTAACACTTTTAAAACAGGTTCATGATAGAATTTAAAGAATAAAATTACACTAAAACACTTTATTTTAAAATGTCTGCCAATAGACCTAGAAACCTTATTTCTTTTAGTTTGCTCAAAATGCAAAGACTTTGTGGGTAAAAAACAAAACAAAAAAAACCTGCAGCTGGCCATTCTTGCAATATCACTGTCATATCTGACTGCTGGTAGCCTATTACACACTCACTTCTTTTTTTTCTTTTTTTTCTCCAGTTTGGGAGTAGGCTAATAAATTGTACACATGTGGTTCCAACAACCAGATGCATTTACACTTTTGTTTGGAATGCGTTTATCATTATGTGATGGTTGTGTACAGGCACTGCCAACACACATTTCAGTACAATCAACTTAAAAAAGGGCATGTACTATATGACCCCTTTAAATAATACATTTCAAAGTAATACATAAAAAGTGTTTAGCCTGAGAGATGATGTAGACTCTGAACAATGAACACACAGCATATGTTTTATGAGAATTGAATAATAAACCCCAGTTTCCCATTCCCAGTCCAGACAGACATGCTTCTCCTGTTTTGATCCAGCAAACCCCAGAACTTCTCATTTACATGCCAACAGAAAACTTCAAAAACAAAGAAAAAGATAGGCAAACAACTCGTAGAACTGCCTTGACTCTAGTCTGCATTGTTTGTCCATAAAGGGCAGCTTTTGTGATGAGAAAGCCACAGGCACTAGAAAAGTTACATTGTAGTCTCATTACATATATAACAGACAGAGCTGCACTGGTCAAGCTAAAAAAAGGGGGATATTCAAATTAATTAACCAATCAGCAATACATTTGATCAGCTCTACCAAACGTGGATGTTTTTCCACTAAGAAACGAACATTGCTATTATGTTTTCATTGATACTGTGAAGCTGCTTTGATGCAATCTGTATTGTGAAAAGCGCTATATAAATATACTTGACTTGACTCAAGTGAAATAACCTGAATCACTGAATTCAAAAGGCCTTGCGTAATTTAGCTACTGTCTATAGTCTCCTTGCCCTTAATGTTCTTCCTTTTTTGCTTCCTCTTTCTACTCCAACACTATTCATTGATGAATAATCATGACTGTAATGTTTTTGCTCTATTTTTTAAACACACTGAATCCATAAAATTAAGTGAAATGTTGGTTAATTGAACACATTATCCACCAAATGTAGTGTCTTGTTTAATAAAAATCACAGTATTGGGACTGACATATTAAGAATGGTTCCAACTGATAAACAATATAAAACATAAAATAATAATAATAATAACCCCTGGCACAAATTGGTTTAAAATGTAAATAAATGCCTGTTGGTATTTTTTGCACTAACTGGCAGATGTTGATTAATTGAGATTATGGATCAAGCTGACAATAATGCGTATAGCCCTCTGGGCCAATTTGTCTATTGCTTTTACTGACAACCAGGGTTGTTATAAAGCTTGGGGAAATTAAGAGATCATCATTAACATGCATATTCTGTAGCACATTTCCACTAAATCTCTCTCTCTCTCTCTCTCTCTCTCTCTCTCTCTCTCTTGTTGTGACTGCAAACAAGTAGGCTATTATGTAGACCACAGTACACAGTGTCATGTAGCAAACTATCAATCAGTAGCATAATTCAACACTATACACAGTATGGCTGCATCCAGCAGAAACACTTTCTGGGGGAAAAAAAAAAGTGTTAACCATTTTCCAGAGGGAGAAATAAACATGCTGATGTTAAAGTCAGGAAATGAAAAAGTCACAAAAAAGTGGAGATCCCAATGCAATTTCCATGCAACGCTTCATGGAAAATTTGACTCAAACACATCTTTTCATACTGATAAAGGTAAACACTTTAAGCAGCTTCTAATTACTACTTTTAAAACATGGTCTATTATAAGTGGTGCACCAATCTTAAAACAAGATTGGTGTTTTAACCATTTCAGCTGTACTCATAGACCTTATTCAGAGCAGCACCATGACAGGTATGAAAGTGAGGCTGTGAGGGATAGACTTACTGTGTTTCCAATGGCATCAGCTGTAAAAAGCTGAATAAAGCTCCTAGATTACTTACAATTTTCCACAACTTACATTTTAGGGAGTTTTTTGTCAACTGAAATTTCATAAGCAGAACAATCCGAAAACACATTAAATAACAGTAGCCTACAGTCCATTGAAGAGATGCATGACTATCCCTCACAGCCTCGCTTTCAATCTCATTAAAAATCAAAGATGGCGCTGCCGTGACTAAGGCGTATTAACAGGAGCAAAACACTTTAGACAACTGTTTATATTAAAATGTGATGTACCAAACAGCTCATTGGCTTTCAGCATGGCACTTCATCAATTGTAAGGAATTGGTTTACTGAGTGTGGTTAACGCTGACAAAGCTCAGATCTGAACACATACATAATTCATAGCACTACTGCAAACTAAACCCATCATCATTGCCTGAATTCACTGATCCGTAGCCATGTTCCAACATCTAGTGGAAAGCCTTCCCAGAAGAATAAAACTGTTATAGCAGCAATAAGAGCCAGCTTTATATTAATGCTCATGGCTTTGAAATTAAATGTTCAACAAGGGCATTCAAGGGTCCACCTATATGTTTTTTTTTTAACTGTAAAGTGAAAATATTTTTTATTCATTCAGGCTGAGACCAAAGGACACATGAGAATTTGGACTGCACCTCAAATCAAATAACCTTACATCTAAATGTATGATTCCAGATTCATCTACAGTAACTGCTGCATGTGTTAAGCTTCTGAGTAATAGAAAGCACACGACAAAGGCTATTCAGAGAAACCACATTATCACGGGTAACATCACATTTACACAAACAATAACCGACTCTGAACACTGACAATAGAGGAGCTTAAATACACAAAGGAATGAAGAGGCAAACAAGACACAGCTGGGGCAAATGAACTCAACACTGAAAACCAACAAGGAGCGGGAAAACTGGGACACGGGACTGAACCAAAAACCCAGGACACACATGTAACAACATGTGGACCCAAAAATGTGTGTGCATGCTAAAAAACGCCATACTTTTTAGGACCTACAAAAAAGTCTGGCATGGTTAATTCTGACGCAAATATGCAAAGCCAAAGAGTTTTCAAATTATTTTTGTCAAGAATGCCATGTATATTGTGAGAGGAGAACATTTTTTTATATGGTCACCTTTATAAAGGAAAAGCAATTTATTACTGCTATCGTTATTTGCTTTATATTATGTTGCCAGCATATCTTTATTTTACACATTATAGTATCCATCTGTCCGTCCGAACAAAGTTATCAGTGACATGACATAATTGCTTTACAGTATGTCTATAGAAACGGTTTGAGATGTTGAGCTTAGAGTTGGTTGCCATAGTATTCTATTCATTGCCAGATGTTTTCCACCAGCAGCCTGGAACATGAACATGACATGAGAAGGTTGATTAACATAATAGGTGTGGGACCGGATGTCCCAGTGCTCAGTGATTCATATACACAATGCTCATTCAGAGCTAACAGAAACAGATAATATGGTTTAAAATTCTCCCATTCTGTTGGCCAAATTTGTGTACTAAACATACATACTGAGCATCAAATAGCTGCAAATAAGCAGTCATATATCCATTTATACTAACTTTCTGTTGTTCATGAGAGGTATTAAACATTAACAGGGTAATCAGCTAATCATAGTGATGAAGAGAACATGAAATGCAGGCATTCTTGCATTGATAGTAGAAAATCAACCATAACATGGAAGCATACATCCACTTCTTTGTTTATTTAGTACATCGCACATTTGCTTTTAATTTTGTGCTGTTGATTATTTTGTCATTCTCCTGGAGCAGCCAGGGGTTGAGTGGTTTATTACCTTGGGATAATAAATACCTCCAGATTATTACTTTCTCCAAGTCGAAACCTTTGATATTTGGGTTTCACAAAACCTTGAACTGGAATACCAGCACAATGATGGTGTTGGCAACAGCTGGTGAACATGTGTGAGAAATGCTTGATCCTTATGAAATTTTGTAGAGGTTGGCAAAAGACATTTGAGAAGAAGATCTAAAGTATTAATTTGAAATCTTGGTTGTGTATGATTAAGGTAAATGTGTTCTGCTTAAATATGAGCATACCGTCACCTGCTGTCTTCTGAAGCATAGCAACATCTGGTATCAACATGAATAAAAAGGAAAAAGAGAAAAGGAAAATTTGGATTAGAATCAAAGGACTGAAATATATTATACAGGTTTGGAATGACACCCAAAATACAAAGAAAAAAAAAAGTGTTTTACAGAGAGTGCAAACAGATTTGATAATAAAATTAAAGCACTTTTCACACAAGAGTTAGAAAAAGACAGAAAACTTTATTTACAAAAATTGCTTCGGTTGTTATTTACTTTCATTTTATAGCCCCTTTTTACAACCAGCAGCAACACATTATTAAATCTTTAGAAATTTAGTTGAGCAATTGCAATCCAGAAAAATGGCAGTAGCATTATAGTGCTAAAATAGGCTCAAATGTGCCATCTTGGGTCTGATTTGTCATGACAACTCAGCTGGTGGGATGTAAATGAGAGTGATGGGGGCAGGATTTCTCAGTGTGACTCTGATTTAACATATCTCAAAAGCTTAAGGACTGGCTGGAGTTATGGACACATTTGGCCATGTCAGATAATTATTTGCAGTCAGTGTATTTCATAATGATTTGATCTATTTCCTGTAGCCTACTAAACGTCACTCAAGAATATATAAAAATACCTTTTCATGTTTAAGTACCATAGACTTGAATAATACATGGCTTGCTTTATATGCACAGCTTTTGGACCTTAGATTTCCACGATGCATGCACGAGAATTGCGCAAGAAGTAGTAGAAAAATAACGCAATTCTCGTGCATCTCTGGATTTCTCGTCACAGGTCCAGAAGGAAGAAAAGGAATAGTCGAATAAAGTCGTTATTTTTGTTTTATTTCCACACAAAAAGTATTCTCATCGCTTGATAAACTTATAGTTGAGCCACTGTACCCAGACAGCAAACTGACATTGAATCAACGTGGAAACGACGTCTCTCATGACATTGAAACAACGTTGATTTGCTCATCGAATTAACGTTGAACCAACGTCAGACGCGGCATTCTTCAAAGCTAAATGAAATCGAAAATTGGTTTGCTTTCATAACGTTGAAACAACGCGTTGATTTTAAGTTGATTTTCCGTTAGTTTTGAAAGAATGACGCATCTGACGTTGGTTCAACGTTAATTCGATGAGCAAAACAATGTCAGATCAACATTGTTTCGATGTCATATTTCCACGTTGATTCAATGTCAGTTTGCTATCTGGGTAGTCACATGGAATATTTAAACTTCAATGACAAAATTTTCTTCAATGACTTTCTTGGCCATCAAGAACAACTTGCATGAAAAACGTTAATTTTTCGGTATGTTTAGAAAAAGTTCCATTTTGAGATTTGACAAAAGCTGAAACTTACATGGTTTTTCGAAGTTGTTCATACAGGAACTTCAGCAGTTTTGGAGGAATGTGTAGACTTTTGATTTCCTTCATCTCAGCCTTTTCGACCTTCGTTCAGGATTTCTGCACAGGAAAGTTAAATAAATGAAGAAAACGGATATGTTTTTAGCTACACAAGAAATCAAATGAAGGAAAATTAACAACAAAGTATCATGTAGACCAGGTTGAGGTTGAAAAACAATTGCTTGTCTGCATGCTCAACTATACATTTTAATATGTTTCATTATTTTCAACTAAATAAACAGAATCACAATAACATGCTCTATAATTAAATTAAAATGTCTTGCTTAACTTTAAATGAACTCCAAGATAAGTGCCATTTTCTTCAGGTATTTTGCATCTCACTGCCTCAATGGGGTAGGAGATGTGGTCAATAACAACTTCCTGAATGCAGCAATCCTGAATGTCCACCACCTTAAACAGAAAAATACATTACAAAATGAAAAACATTACACAATCACTTCAGAAAACCGCTTTAAACATAGTTGTTTAGATCTTCCCCATACAATTTGTATTTCTACTGACCATGTAAACATAAATATCTTTAGGAGGGATATTCAGCAACCAGCTTTTTCTATCAACATTTTTTTCTTCAGACTTTTAATTCAAATAAGTTTTGCCAGTATTGAACATTCACAATTATGCTAATAAAACAAAATACAAACCCATAAGAAGCATGCAGGTGGTGCTTGGGAATATAGTTGTTGTAGAAAACAACAGAAACATTATGAAACAAACTAATGAGGAGGAAAAAGAATGACTAACATTAGGCAGAAGTGTAGATAATAGCAGTCATGTTTAAGGGGTGATGAACTGAAAAATCAAATTTTCCTTCAGCTTTTGACATCTAAGAGGTCATCATATTATAAGAATATCCTGTAAGTTTCAGAAGTGAAAACGTCCTTGTTCGTCTAATAAAAGCTTTTATTGACACCAGGCTCAGCAAATGACTCGTTTTTCGAAGTGGGGAACTACGTCAAAGAGGATAAAACACCACCCCCGCAGAAGAAGATCAACGCCTATTTCAACACGGCCGTTAGCCCCGCCCACCGATTCTCGCATTACACGCATAGCTAAATAAGATAGGCCTGCCTACCTCGTGATGAAAAAAATGTATCGAGAGTGAAACTCATTATAATATGCAACACTGTTATCCACTCAAAGCAGTGGGCATTTACTTCCAAGTCTTCCATGTAAGACGCCCATAAAAACAGAGCGTTTTGGAGCTGGGCTCATAACTAGGGTAGAAAATAGCCTATAACTTATTCATTTTGATGTTTTTTTAATGTAAAAAGCAACCGAACGTCATAAGTTGACCTCAAAGAACAATATAATAAAATTTAAAAAGCCAGTTCATGACCCCTTTAAATATAAATTAATCTTTCATTTTTTGGGGTTTAAAGTTGTATGTGTGTGTCTGTGCGTCTCATCTAAAACAAAAACATGAAGTCTAACGTAATAACGTTAACCACATTTGGCAGAAAAGGTGGTTGTGTTTTCCTTGATCCAGCTGTAACGGTTAAGTTACTGCATCTTCACACAGTCTCTTCATGTTGTGTCTTCATGCCTTTTAAATCAAGCGTTTACTTTTCTTGACGATTCCTCTGGTACCTTTTGTTTGAAGGCATTAAATTGCTCTAAAAACACTAACGTTAGAACTGACCTTTACCACTACTGGTTAACGGATGCACTCGGCAGGAAATAAACTGCATCATGTCAAATAAAAGTAAATAAACCACAACGAGGACACTAGGCTATACAATCGAGAACCTCCACGAGTGTTAACAAAACCTTTCAATGTGTGACGATATGCATAAAATGATAAACGTGACGGGTCCGACATTCATTTGAACAGAACAGCACTTTGTCTGCTTTGGTGGCCGGTCCAAGGGGAAAATCAGAGGATATCCAGATGGATAGTTGATGCTATTTCTCTGGCATACACCTCAGTGGGTCAGGTTTGCGCTATTGGTACTACAGCCCATTTCGACTAGAGGCATGACCTCTTCTTGGGCTTGGTCTTCTGGGGAAACCAAGAGTGAATGGTTTTGAATGGCAGATCAGCTACAGAATTATGAACTAAAGATGGGGCGTACTCCAAAGAACTTGATAAATAATTGCTGGGCTGTCAATAATTTAATGCTTGTTATATCACTATATCTTCCAAGTCTTTCTGGTAGAAATATGATTTTTGGGTAACTGGGTGAGACATTATGGATTTGTGTTTACAGTTCTGAGAATACAAGGCATAGTTTTTCAAAAGTGTGTTCAAGCAATCAAGAAAAAAACTGTAAAGGTTTTACTGTCACCCGAAGACACACACAAGGTTAATCAATTGCAAATTTTAAATACTCTATCTAAAAGCAGGCTATTGACAGAATTGTTTTAGTTTTAAAAATGCATCAATGAACCAATAAACTTGACAGTTAGAAGCAAATTAACTCAGAGGGGCTGTAATGATCTTGAAAAATGTGTCATCAGATATCTTAGTGAGCTTCTGCTATCATTGACAGTTATTCTCCTCTGTGTCGTTAAGATAACAATCTTGTTGATTTTAACACTGTTAATCTCACGACAAGTCACACTGTCACCATGGAAACTAAACTTTGTGGAAATGTTTCCATAGCATTTTACTTTTTTCACTTATATACTACTGTATTGAGTTGAATCAAGGTTATCTGACACCATTTTTTGCACTTTCAACGTCTGCAGTTTGTTTAATAACATGTTTGGGTTCCTACATTACGCTGCATCACTGATTTACCCTAATTTACTCTTTGACCAAGGGGATCGTTATCTAAATTGTGTGTGTTTGTGTGGAAACTAAGGGGAGCAAAATAATGGTTCATGTTTTTATTATTGTGGGAGTGTATTGGTGCTGTCCTGTGTAATTGTGTGATTGTGTGGGGATCCCTTATTTGGGAATTTTTATTTTTACGTGTCATGGCATGTTTTGAAAGTCAAAGATCTAGTTCCAGCATCTGGGGATCTGGGCATATTATAGCTTTAAACTTCCTGTTCACTGAGATAATTCCCCTACTTACTACAAAGAAAACAGGAAACTGTCACACACAGATTGTTTGGTATATTCTTAGATGTGGGAGCTCAGAAGGGAGCTGAGAAATTCTAAATTTAAAGGTGAAGCATGTCACTTTTAAATATTTTCTTCTATCCAAGTTTAATATTCTGATACTGTACTAATTACAAGTCTTTTGCAAGGTTGATTCCCCTACAACACATTGTGACTCTGTGTTATCATTGCTTTGCTTGTTTCAATTCTGAGTGACAGCAACACGTGATCCGGCACGTGTACATTGGTATCATTAAAAGGCTTTCTGCTGTATGGTGCATGCACTCTAGAGCTGGCCATCACACTGACAGTACAAAATAAAATAAGAAATACCCGTCTTCCAAGATGTCAATGAACACTTACAGGCCTTCAATTACTGCAAGAAATCCAACAGCTTTGCTGTTTCGAGCTCAGAGATCACTTTATCATTCAATTCAAGTTTTTTTTTGTTTTTGTTTTTTTAGAGAGAGAGCTTTGCCAGAGTTTGAATGTGCTAGCCACTGATTTATTGTTTTTATCCAAGCAATACGTTAAGATGACTGTAGTGGCACATACCATGAAGTCCATACCAATTAAAATTCCATAAATAATTTGGTCTGAGAGCGAAAGTGCAGGGAATTCATCTTCTTTCCCCATTCATGGCTCTTGGGACGCCTCCCTCTGAGACTTTGAGGTAAAAATACAAGGTTAATGACAATTCAAAAATGACAATATTTAGATTAGTTTCTCAATTGGATGTACCCATTTAATATTTATCATTCTTTAAGATGACAAATGTTCATTAAAGAAAGGATGTCTATGGCTTCATTTTCACCTGACATCAACATATGTTTGATCGTCTCACGTTCATATAGCACTTGACCACATTAAATGTCAGGTGTACAATGCATCCAAGGCTCATTTTGATTAGATTACTGAGCAAACCACATTCAGAGGCGGTCAGGGATGGATTCTGACTACATTTAAAAATGAATGCAAATGTGTTAGCTGCATGTATCTACATATGTATTAGGTCTAATATATATAGATGTTTCCCATGCAAGTAATAATTATTCATCACTTTGAAAGATTGAGTTGCAAATATTATTCCATGGTCTACTTTTTTTGTTTGTCAGTAAAATATTGCAATGCTTGCTGTTGTTACTCTGATATCACAAGAACTTGCTAAAGCTCTTTTTGTCAAACCAAGCTCTATGTTGCATAGTGTCCTTTACTGTGGGAATTTTAAGTAGGATAAGTGCAACAGACCAAATACATTAGCTTATTTTTACCTTTCAAAATGATGGAAAACATTTTGAAATATCCTCCAATGTTTTTCAAATTCAGAATAATTGAAAATGTATCTCATGTAGGCTCTGCTTTCCACTTTCTATATTTTCTATAGCAGCGAGATCTAAAACAACCCAGTTCAAGCCAGTTGAAGAACATACTATTGAATGTAAAACTTTTTTAATGCCAAGTGTAAAGGGGTCTATCAATAACAGTCATCAAGAGATGAAAAAACTTATCTGATTTCTGCTTGTTTTTCTCTGAGAAGATAGTTCCCAGTTCCTTTTTAGGCACAGAGGCCATATATCTGACTATGTCTTTTGGTTCCATTCAGTGTGTCAGCCAAGGTTAAACCCTCATTGTGATCCCTTGTCAGTCCCAGAAGTGATCTATGTGCTTTCCCATCTATGTACTTGAAGATCAATTACTGTGGGTTTATTCTGACTCTTAGAGCACTGTTACATATTGCATCAAAGCGTATGACCTCAACAAGCAATAAAGGCCATCTGTCAACATGTTTAATGAGAAAATGTTCAGGAACGAAGGCTTTATTTTTAAAGTCCAGGCAAAAAAGCGATCGTTCAGTTTTCCTTTTATGTTCCTGATTTCCCATAAAGCACTGCTCTATGATTTCTGCTTTTTAGCTAGAAGGTCATTCTGTTGGAATAAAGGAACATTTCTCAGTTTTCTGACATGTTGGCATAAAAACATCAGCTCATGTTATGAGGTACATAAACACCCATTCTCCACTACTTCTAGGTGCCATTATTTGGTGAGAGACAGAAGACAAATACAAAAAAGCCTGTGCTTAGCTCTAATAAACTTAAAAATGGCTATGACTCTTGATTGTGTGCACAGCCATATCCTTTTAAGGGTGTTCAAAAGAAAGTGGAAATATATCCAGCAGTCTGAAGTGATCTGAGGTGAGCTTCTTTGAATACAAAGTAAACGTCACACTTTTATGTGATCACATCAGAGAACGTGTTTGAACCCATGAGTGGAAATCTGCGCACGGCATGTCACGCTCACATATGTATCAGCATGAAAATACATC